ACTCTTACCATAGCCTTTTTGTAACTCTCTTCATATGAGGCAACTTTCTGCTTCATTTGTTTTACACATTCCTGTATATTATCAGGGTTAGGAGATTGTTTGGATAATGATTCTATTGAACTTTCCAATTCCCTCTTCAGATCATCCATGAATCTTTGGTTACGATCTATTTTGACTTGTAACTCTTTATCTTTAAGTTTCAATTTCAATATTTCATATTCTTCATTTAAATTTTTAGATATTTGTTTAGATTGATTTAATGATATGGATATTGGGTCCAAATTGTCTATACCTAATTCAGTTTGTTCTTTTGCAACTTTTAATATAATTTCTTGACATTTCTGTGGTAATGCATCAAGAGATATATTCAATTTTGTAAGAATTTCTGTATTAATATTACCTGTGGAATAAATTATGATTTTAAATATGCAAATTGTATTTTTTTAGAAGATTTTAACATGTGGAGAGTAAGGGAACGATATTGAAAATTAATTATTAGGTTTTTTAATGTTTATTTTAAACTTTAGCGCTAATTTTGTCATCTATTTACATAAATACAGTATGAATCAATCATTATCTAGAAAAACACGGAACAATAAGCTAATTTCATCATTCATCACCAGCTCACTACATGTCCCCACCGAGGGGCTCGGAGCCTACCCTAATAAGGGGGGACTAGGCCATAGTCAACCACACTGGCCAAGTACGGGTTGGTTGACTTCACATATATCTTTGAATTTCTTCGCCGATATGCACAGGTTGCATCACGATGTTTTCCTTCACCGTAAGAACGTCGGGTAAACTATGTACATATGAAATTTCGAAAAATCGAAAATCACATTGGTACAGCGGGATTCGAAACCCAAGACCTGTAGATTACAAGACAAGTGCTTAAACCACTGAGCCACCGACGCTCTATAAGCTATAAGCTAATTACGAAATACAATTTGCAGTATCTATAGTAGGAAAGTTAACAATACTTTCAATCCTTTTAGCTAAATTTAACAACAATTCTTCGGAAAGATTTGGTCCCATTATTTGCAATGAAATGGGTAATTTGTTATTTGATAAGCGTATAGGTATTGAAACCGCTGGTATGCCAGCCATATTCGCTGGTTGAGTACAATAATCCTGAAAAGCACATTGATCTCTGTTATGTTTAGATACAAAATCACCATACAACGGTGCATCACACAGAGTAGTCGGGGTAAGCAGTACATCAACACCATTATCACCGTTAAAAACATTTTTAAAATCATCAGCAATCAGTCTACGTAACTTCAAAGCTTTGAGGAAATATTTATCATAATTCCTTGTTAATAAGAAATAATTCCCTGCAAATATTCGTGATCTGACGACATTATTGAAGCCTTGAGATCTCGATGAAGCGTACAGTTCCTCGGTTGAATAATCTTCATTAGTTCTTAGTCCAAACTCTAAACCATCATACCGTGCCATGTTACTGGCAACTTCACATTGGTTTAATATAGAATAAACAGCTATAGACACAGATGTATGTGGCATAGATACTGTTTTAATTATAGCTTTTTCTTTCTCAAGTAAATCAGCTACAAAACTCCATGTATCAATAATTTCTTTACTCATACCCTCACAATGGTATTCAGTTGGTATTCCTATTTTTACTTTTGATAAATCAATATCCTTCAACTCTATAGGTTTAAAATCTCTTTTTATTGTAGTTGAATCTAAATGATCAGGTCCTGCAACACAGTTTAAAATCCTTGTCGCATCTACAACATTTCTTGCTAATATCCCAGGCACATCCATCGAATTAACTAAAGGTATCAGCCCATATCTAGACACAAGACCATATGTAGGTTTAATTCCAACCACACCACATAATGCTGCAGGGTTTCTCGTTGAGCCTCCTGTATCCGAACCAATACCAGCAACACAAACTCCTGTGCTTACAGCTACAGCGCTACCTCCGGAACTGCCACCAGCTATTCTCCAATCAGAATCACCGTTATATCCCCAAGCATTACGAGTCGGACCAAAAATAGAGTCTACTGTTCCAGAACCCATGGCAAATTCATCTAAATTACTTTTCCCAATCAAACAAGCACCATTGTCAATTAATTTAGAGTATACAGTCGCATCATAAGTTGGTATAAAGTCTTTTAACATTTCCGACGCGCAAGTTGTAGGGATATTTTTAGTGCAGAAATTATCTTTAACAGCTATCGTTATCCCGTCCAGAGGTTTGATATTTTTCTCAATATAAAATCTCTTTTCACTCTCAATTCCCTGCGTTTCTGCGACATCTTCTGTGATAGTAACTATTGCATTTAATTTACTCGTTTGTCTCGCTTTTTGCAAACATAAATCAACAAAACTTATAGGCGTCAGGATTTTGTCATGATATGCTTTGTGCAATTCTTTTATCGTATATGATGTTAGTTTATTCATTTTTCTCTAATTGAATATATTTTAAATTATGAAATAATAGCATCTATCATCACTTATAGGTTATAAACACTGAGAAATACGGCTAAATTAAAAATGACACTTATTGGAGAAAGTGTGACATCTGCGTTGAACTTTTAATTTAGTCGGGAAAATATATTTCACGACGACTTACCTAATGCTTGTTGTTCTTGTTTATCTGTCTGATCCAATTTCAAGAACAAATTTGATTTTTCCTTGTTTAATTCCCCATTCATTTTCATACTTGTATTTAGTTTGTTTAAAACTTTGAAAAACCACAAACCGCTAGAATTCAAATTTGACAATTACTTTTTTTAAATCAAAATGAAAGCAAAGGAAACTTTAACCATTTATACCGCAAACTAGGGGAAAGTTAGTAAAATATTTATTATTTCCAAATTAATTAACTGGATCGAAATATGATTATTTTTATGTACTTTAACAATACAAATTAAAAAAAAAAATTACATCCAAAATCAAAGATTAATACCAAGACAACATTTTTAAAAGAATGTCACTTTAGTTGTCAAACGTCAGTATTTTTAATTTGTTCAAGTAATTTTTTGCTTTCAGTAAAGTTTAATTGAAACTATAAAATATTTTAATAAACCCGATTTAATGTTATATGTTTAGCAAATAGTGTTAGAATGGCACATTTGCAATATTTGCCTGGAGATCCACGTTTAGTTGATCAATTAGTATATGAACTTAAATCTAAAGGGATTTTCGACCAGGTATATTTTACTTTTTATTTTAAAATTATTAAATTGTTTTTTATTCAAAGGAAAAATTGTGTACATGACCTACAAGACACGATGCGATTTTCAGAACTATTCTACTAAAAAGATCCTATAAATTATTTTTGTATGTTAAAATGGTATTAATCATTTAAAAACGCAGTGACTTATTTCTTTTAGTGAATTTTGTATACATTTTCATATTATCTGTAATATATCATAGAAACAATGTACAAATGACATAAAAAATCTAGAAACATGTGCTAGTAAATCTGTACATAAGTGTTAATTTATAAAGTTTATCATTTTTCAGAACAATGACTAATTTTCTCAATGTGAATCTTGTATAAAGTATTTCCATGCCAATATTACCTTTTACATACAAATAAGTATATGTAAGTGTGTCAGTACAAATACATGTATACTTGCATTTTCTTGTGACTCCATCTATAAGGAATTAAAAAAAACCAACTTAAAATTGGCCTCAGTGTTCTACCACACTATGTATTACAAATTTCATTGATATCCGTTCAGATGTATTGGAAATATGTTCTGAACTTTCACATTTATAATATAACTGTTTTGACAAACATATATTTGCAATAATATTTTAATAATTTCACAAAATGTGTAATATAACTTAGTCCATTTTAACAGTAAAAGGTTTATCAGAAAAGTCTTTCTGAATATTTTGGTTATGAATAAACAACTATGTCGCTGGGCGGTTAATTGTTCTTTTTTATATTTTTGTATTGTTTTTAGTAGGTTGTCAACTGTTTTTTTTGTGAACGCTGTAAGTTGAACTATGAAATTTCACTGCGGGAACAATTTTATTATAACCTAATAAATGTTGGGCCACCAAAGTTGAGGATGAAAGGAGATGCGTATGTTAAGATGGATGTGTGGTGTGACAAGAATGGATAAAGTTAAGAATGTGTATATTAGAGGAAGTTTGAAAAAAGCACCAGTGGTGGAGAAATTGAAAAGCATAAGGTTAGCATGGTATGGACATGTTGTGCAACGAGACAATGGGGACGTAAACCTGAAAGTGTTAAGAATGAATGTGGATGGCTACAAAGGAAGAGGAAGACCGAAAAAAGTATTGATGGATTGTGTGAAAGAGGATATGCTTAAGAAAGGAGTGGATTCAGATATGACGGCTGATAGAGATGTATGGAAGCATCACACACTGTGCCGACCCTCCGTAAGGGATAAGGGCAAGTTGATGATGATGATGATTTATTAAAACGTAATGTAAGCGTTTTTCAAATGCGCTGGATGCCTAATTTACATTCTTTTTGTCGCTCCTGTCCACCTTTTTTATTCAAATGGATTTGTAGGGGGATGGGAGGCATAGGTAAAGGGAAAAATCCTATTTCTGTGCATCCTCTCAAGTGTTGATTAAATATCTGCATGTATATGTGTGTGCCCATCAGTAACTTGGTAGTTTTGTCAATACCGCAGTCCCCTTACCCGTTTGTAAGCCTATACTATAAAAAATAAATACTGATTTCAGTTTCGTAAGGATTGTATAGCAGATGTTGATACAAGACCGGCATATCAAAATCTACGTCAGCGGGTGGAGAACTCAGTCACAACATTCCTCTCTAAGCAGTGCTGGCAACCGGATTTGAACAAGAATCAACTGAGAGAGAAACTAAGGAAACACATCTTGGAGTAAGTTTAAAAGAATCAGATGTAAATGGAAATCATAGTTAACAATTTCTCTATTCATAGCCTATTTTATGTAAATCTGATTATTAAGTTTATACATACAAAGATTAAACCAAGAGAAAATTTATAAAAGATTGTCACTGAAGATGTTAAATGTTTTTATTTTGTAGTTTTAATTTGAATTTGACCGAGTATTTTTTTGCTTTTATGTAGACTTTATTTGAATCCATAAAATACTTTGATAATTCGTCTGTCACTCATTACTCCTTACTTTATCATATCACCTTTCTCATAATCTATCCATCTCTTTCTAGTGTACCTATATTATTTCGTTATTAATGACAGAAACCGTTTTTTCCAGTGGCAATTATCTTGAACAAGGAGTTGAACGTATAGTCGATCAAGTTGTGAATCCCAAAGTTGCGTCAGTATTTATACCTCAAGTTGAAGATCTCGTCTACAATTACTTGGGTATCACAAGAAAAAAAACTGTCAATAATGCTGAAACTACCAATGATAAAACGGAACATCTACTTCCGACTGACTTAGAAGCAGTGAGCCCAGGTTCAGTTAAAAGTAATGATGACAAAAATGAGGCCATGGAAGTGGACACTAATGTCTCAGTTACAAATGATATGGAGGACGATAAAAATATTAAACCTGAAGTAAAAGATCAAGTTAAAACAGAGACAAATCATATTGATTCAAAAACTGAACCTCAAGAGGAATCTGTAAGCGAATTAACATCAAACGAATCTAGCAGTATCGATAAAAGTTCTATTCCATTACCGTCTGAAGAAATTAAATTGGAAAATATACCACCTCCTGAAAATAGTCCGCCTAAAAAGGTGGAATTGGAAAAAATAGAATTACCGAAAGAAATTAATTATTCCACAGATATACCATTACCAGATGAGATACCGAAAGACGAAAAAGACTATTTTAAAGCTATTAATAGTGATGATGACGATTCCAGTTCTGATTCTTCTTTGCGACGAAACATGTCTCCTTTAACACCAATAAGAAACTTCAATAATGAAAACTCCTGCGATGCACAACAAGCTTTTGATAACGATTCACTAGATGGTAAAAACGAAGATAAAAAAGAACCAAGCTCATTCCGATTTACTATTGAAGCAACAGAAAACTGTACAGATTCAGAAAAAACTAAAAAACCAACAGATCAACTTAACTTGGCTTATCAGTTCAATAACCAAGTGAATATAAATTCATTTAACACTCCCATGTATGACGATAGTTCTAATAGTAATCTTTTACAAATCGACTACGAAAGCGATGCTAATAGTAAAGTTAATTCAGAACAGAAGCCTTCTGAAGCTGAGGTATCAGAAGATTTAAAGAAAGAAAGAAAAAGTGATGACAAAAAAAGCAGTCATAAAAGTTCACATAGATCCAGAGATTCTAATAAGCATTCCAGTAAGGATAGACGATCTGATTCCAAACATTCGACATCTCGGGACAGTAGCAGACATGAGAAGAAATCGAAAGATGACAGCAAATCAAAGTCCAGTTACAAAGATAGCTCAAGAGACAAAACTGACAAAAAGGATAGTAAAGATTCGTCTAGACATTCACATAAAAGCTCTAGCAATAAAGATTCCAAATATAAAAGTTCAAGTTCGAGTCAAAGAAATTCCGGTAAAAGTTCCGATGTGAAACGATCGAGTCACAGAGATAAATCGGATAGAAGTTCCGATAAATCGTCTAAAGATAAATCTAGGGATTCAAAATCGTCTCGCTCAGATAAAGATAGAAAGAATAGTAAGAGTAAACACGATGAAAAAGACAAAGAAAAGAAAGAGAAGAAAGATTCTGATGATCATTATAGTGTATCAGGACGTGGTAATCCTAATCGGAGATCTACAGATAGAGATTCTAACGATGGTAGTTCATCGTCCAAAGGATCACATAACCCTTCCAGTGGTAAATCATCTGAAAGCAAAAAGGACGCAAAAAGTGGTAGTTCAAAATCAGATAATATGTCAACAAGCAGCGAAGGTCGAAGTCCCAACGATAGAGAGTTAACATTACAAGAGAAAGAGAAAGAAGTAATTGATATGTTACAACCAAAACCAATCGTTAGACTTGAAACACATTTAGAAACACCAATAGCGTCTCCACCTCGCCTTTTAGTTCCCGAAGTACAAATTAAAAAACCTAAATTCGCAAATAACTTAGAAGAGGCTAAAAAACTTATGAAAATGCGTAAATATTTAGATGAGGAACAGAAAAGGATGAATCAAGAGGCTGCTTTGCTTTTAGAATTCCAAGCGAATGTAAGACCTAGTCTTAGTCAAATTTATTCCAGTATTCCTGGACCCGAATTAGAATTCGCTTGCGTAACGAACACTATTGTTCACACCGAACAAATAAGGCTGAATAATGATGGACATAATACAACCACTTTTATAACTGATCAAAATTATCCAGAAGATGAAGGTTTCTCTGATCATGTAGAAGATGATGTTCCTTCTACATTAACTGTTAAAGAAGTGGAAGAATCTATTGAAATTATTAACGAAGAATTGAATAATAAAGCAAAAGCTCATGCTACCGAAGATATTATTAGTAAAGAATCTTATGAATCGCCAATAATAGAAAACTTGACGCGACCTGGGTATTCTCAAAATGTTAATCCAGAAAATATCGATATTAAAACCAATATCGAGAATTCAGATGTGTGTAAAGAAAACGTCTCCGTCATTGATAATAAGGAAAATACAGCATATTTCGAAGTAACCGTTATCGCTGAAGAAGTGACCGATGACGAAGGAAACCAACAAGAAGCAAAAATAACAGAAGTTAACAAAAATTTAATCGAAGAGAAAGTTGATTCGGAACAGAATAATTTTCATTATTTCGCTGAAACCGAGAAATATAACGCTGAACTTGAAAGGGATAGATTCAGTAAATTCCTAAAAGACTACACAGTTTCAACAACTAATAAAATATATTTAATCAACTGTGATCCATACGAAGAGAGTATAGTCCGAGAGGTATTAGATAATTTCGGGCATTACGAAATTGTGAACTACCAAAGGAATGGTCATTTAAAACTGCCGAAATCTAAGAATATAGTGAAAAATGTGAATTTATCTAATGAAGTTTCTTTACCGGTCGATAAAGAAAGTGAAAATGATATTAAATCGATAACAGAATCAGTCTTCAGTCCTGTCAAATCTGAATGTTCTTTTGAACTGTCGAATGATTACGATGCTAAATTAGAAGAGATGGTCAATAAGACATCTCGCCAAGAAATAATGGAAATTATACTTGGCAGTGTTATAGCTGACTCTCCATCTAAAATGCCTAAAATAGATTATTTAACCGATTCTAATATTGAAGGTGGGAGTGAAAATTTGAAAAGAAAGCATGATATGGAAACAGTTAACAGGCCAGTTTTAGCTAAAATGAGAAGGTTGAGTATACCTGACCAAATATCATCTACTACTGAAGGTAATTGTCAAAGAGGTTAAGGGCCTGTCCCACTGTCTTATAGAGGTTCAGATAGCTGAAAAGTGACGTCACTGTCAGATAGAGTACCAAAATCCGATATTTCCATCACATTTTTATACATAGGATTTATATCTGATAATTTACATGAATCGTGGAACAGGCCCTAAAAATATATGAAGTAGGCATAGTTGACACATCACTTTAAACATTTTTCCACATAATCTCACTAACGCCTATTACATGTTACATCCGTCCGCATTGAATTAAAAAAAAAAACAATAGCAAGTAGCCTATGTGTTCTTTCAGACTATCCTCTACATCTGTGCCAATATTCAAATTTTGTTTGATTTTTAATTGATAATTTGAACTCAAAAACTACTGGGCCGATTTCAAAAATTCTTTCACCATTAAAAAGCTACGTTGTCAGTGAGTAACATAGGCTACGTTTTATGTTATTTTTTTAATTTTAAGTCGATGGAGTCGCGTGCGAAAGCAAGTCAAAGATATTAACTAAAATTCATATCATCATCATTATCTCCTTATCCTACTCCCGTAGTGGCGCAACAGGTTTTTGTCCTCCACATAACTCTATCATACGTCATCTCAGTCATCACTCCCTTTTTGATCATATCATCTTTACACAATCCATCCATCTCTTTCTACGTCTACCTCTACCGATGTACCTCCACACTCATAACTAACGTTCTCCTTGTAACACGCGATTCATCCCTCCTCAACATACCCATACCATGCTAACCTTTTACTCCTTACCTTCTCTACTACGGGGTCTACTCTCAAACTTCCTCTAATATACTCATTTCGTATCTTATCCATTATGTTACCCCACACATTCATCTTAACTAAATTTCATATGTTAACAAAATAAAACCTTTAATATTTAATTAATTTTATTCATAGTATTTATTTGTATTTCTAGACACAGATGAAAGGTCTAACAACAATTTGCCTCAGTCGGTAAAGTCTAAGTTCCTCGGCAGGGCACGGAGAGTAGGGCTACCTAGGCCGAGGAAGGGTAAGTAGTTTTTTTAAATTCCATAAATACTTAAATATACTTCAATTATAATATAAAGACTTGAATTTTATATTGTACTAGCTTTCGCCCGCGACTCCGCGTGGAATTAAAAAACGTATGTAGCCTATGTGTTCTTCCAGACTATCCCCTACATATAAGGGCAAATTTCATCGAGATCAGTTTAGCAGTTTAGGCTACAAACACTAACAAACATCTATCCATCTAATCTTTCGCATTTATAATATTAGTATGATTTATACTAATGTTATAAAGAGAAAAGATATGTTTTTTAAAAATTAGAATACAGAAGCAAGTAGCCTATGAGTTTAACACTTTCCTTTACATCTATGACAAACCGAGATCCCTTTAGCATTTTAGACCACAAACTCCAAACATCCAGCTATATAAATGAAAATATTCTGTCTATTTTACATAAGAAAAAGGTGCAAAAAATGACTTTTTTAATCCATTCCCCTATAGATCTTCCAAATAGTCCATCAAGTGATAAATCAGTAGAAAATTACGAACAGAATACAGAAAGTCCCGCGCCAAATGGCAAGGTAAAGACAACTCCTCGCTCCAAAGTGCAGAGATATGACACCTCAGATTTATACAAACCTAAGTTACATTACTTATCAAGAAGGAATAATATAAGTTAAGTTGAAAATGTTAGGGTATTTGACTGTTATATACATATAAATATGGTTTATTGTGTTTTTTTAACGAAAATTGGCTGACAGGTGACATAATTTTGTTTGTGGGAATTTTTTAATGAACTTTTAAAATAAAATCTTGTAAACGTACAAATGGGCAATTGTAATTTTTGTGAATAACGGAATACATGCCAGTAGACACACTTATGCCAGCATACAAGTAGCTGGCACGATATTTGATTTTATGACAGCTACGTGCTATGAGGGAAGGATTGAGAAGTGTTTTCTCGGAGTTAGACTCGTTGAAAAGAATATTTCCTGTAATTGGTACACCGCAAAAGGCTTTGATTGTACAATTTGAAAAATAATAATAAGAGAAAGGTAGTGTTTCCAAGTTTTAATGTAAAATTGTATTATTTGTTTACAATAATTTTTTCTTTCATTTGGAATGAAGGGTTTTTAAGGATACTGTAATAGTTTTTTTCTTTTTTTTTCCTTATTTCATGTATTTCCAATTGAATTGGTAGATTTCTAAAACACTTATATTCAAATTTCCTATATTTTAAAGTTAAAATCATTTGCTTGTACATGTATTATTGTTTTTTTTTCTAATTTTTTTTTTAATTCAAGAGCATGGAACAAGGCTAAATTAAATGAAAACTTTTCTGATAAATTATTTTCAACGAATATATGCACCGAATTTAGACCTCGCATTTGGAATAGATTTAATGCCACACTTTAGTCTGTGATTTTTCTTTTATAAAAAAAATTAATTGTTTATGGTTTGAAACGAAATGGATTTCTAGTGTATTTAAATATGTTAAAATGTATATTATAAGTTTTGTAACGGTTTAGGAAACAAATTTTGTTTTTAAGTCAAATACCCTAAAATGTGTGTTTGTGTAAGGGACAAGAAATTTTCCATTCTAAATTATTGTCTATGATATTCTTAGCTTGGGTTGCCAGTTTTTTGTTTCTGTATTTTTAAAATTAATTAGAAGATTTTAAATATATGAAGTAGAAAAAAAAACGAGCAAATAAAAAAAAACTTTGGATTATATTGGTTTAATTGCACAGTTTAAATTATCGACTTTATGAATAAGTTGTATTTTTTCTTGTTTTAATAATAATGACGATTTTAAATGTGAAACTTAGGGCCTTTCCCACTACTGGCTGATAGAAGCACAGACAGCTTAAAAGTAACGTCACTGTCTACCAAAATCCGATATTTCCATCACATTTTTTTACGTTGGATGTTATCTAACAATTTACAAGAATTGTGGGACAGGCTCTAAATGAAATAAGAATCCATTCACACATGAAGTGTAGATGAGATTTTAATCGCGAAAATTTTTGTTATTGTAATAAGGCTGAATTTTATTTGACACGTTTTTACTCTTGCTTATGACAAGATTTGCAAAATAAACTTAAACCATGTTTCAATAGAGTAAATACAATTTAAGAATATTAAGATCTACTCTGCTCTATATCCCAGTCTGAATGGACCCTAGTAATGTATTTTTTTTATTATGGCAACCTTAGTAAATTATAGTATTAGTACATTTCAACTGCCATTGAAGTGAAATATGAAAAGATTGTGATTTCTCTAAGGTTTTATAGATTTATAATTATTGTACTAACAGTAGGACTCCATTGCATTAACATTTAAGAAGCATATCTAAGTGTTAACGCAATGTAGTTCTACACTAATATAGCGTTAGGTGCTGTTCGTGTCGTTTGATATAGTTAATATAAGATTCAATTATTACAATTTTATTAAAATAGGTTTTATTTTATCGTTAAATTACGAAATACAAAAACCAACGTTAGCGTCAAATTATTAAGCAAGGTTCATTTTCTTGAATAAGGCGCAGGTCGCAAATGAATTTAAAAAAAAAACGATCACTACTCAATACATTTAGTTGTATTCTTGTGCAGAGGTTTGCCGATGGCGATGACGTCATTTTAACTTTAGTACTGACGTGCGCGGGACGCGGTCGGTGATGGGAGCCATCGACAAATCTGCGAGATTACCACTTTTACTGATGCCTTTTTGGTTCATATTTACCTTTTGCTCTCTTGATATTAAAACTAATGACAGACCCACATTCGAAGATACGAATTCATAGGCATTACCTTTGAAGAGGACAAAAAAGGTCTTTTTAGGCTTACGCTTCAAAATTGTCCTGTTATGTCATTGTGTCCTGATTAAAAGACCTCGTTAGTGTTTTTTTATTGTGGGCATATTATAGTTATAATGCTAATAATCTCTTGGGCAAATTAAAAGCAAATTTTGATTTTTTAGGCAAATTAACTGCAAAAAAGGACAATGTTTTTTCTTCCTTGCTTCAGATGCTAAATACCTGATTTCTATAGACTAAGCAATATCCGATATCTCGATAATTTGTAATAAATCGCATATTTCCTATGTTACGGACATCTTAGCTGCAGTCTCTGTATGTTTTTTTATTGTCTATATTTTAACTAGGTATCTTATCGCAACTATATTCATAAAAATAATTTACGTAAAATGTATGTTTGAAGTTTGGCATGTTTACAGAAGATTTGAAATGAGAAAACTATTTAACTACGTTGTTGTTTATGATTCCAAAAATCAAACAATAAAATGGGACCCACCTCCAAGCACCACCTTTCGGATAAAAAAAGATTTATAAAAATCGGGCCACTAGCGGCGGAGTTATGCCGTAACACACATAAAAAAAATACATACAGACGAATTGAGTACCTCCTCTTTTAGGGAATTTGGTCAAAAATAATGTCATTTATGATGAAAAAAACTCGAAAAACATGAATTTTTAGTTGATTCTTTTTATGAATAAGGATGCGTTTCCTGTAGCCTTCACATTCAGTAGTCGGTTAACACGATATATAGATATTTCTAACTATTATCTCAATATTTAATTAAAGGTTTTAACGATAAATTAGACTTTACAAAATAAATTGTAATCCAACTCAAATGTGTAATCTAATAGTTTAAGGTATTTTTGTTATTAAAAGGAATTTTAGTGTTAATTTTATTTGTATAGAGAGTGCTATGTTAAGTCAAATATTTTTATAGCAAAACTACCCGAAATGCACTTTAATTCGATTTCCGTTAACAATGTGAAATTTTGTCGAAGTTAAATTTTTCTTACGCATCTATACGTTATTATTTTTCTTGCTGGTGTTTTTTGCTATAGAAATATTCGATTTTTAAACTTACATGCAAAAGCTTTGTATCTTGAAGTGCATATAAATATAACAATGTTATAAGAATTTAAATTATTATTAAAATAAATGATATTTCAAAATCGTATATATGTTGTTTTCTTCAAAAATCCCAATAAATGTAAATGACAAGTACATACTTGTAGTGCGTACTTGTACTATTAGGGAATCTGGCGGTGGTCTACCTTTAAAGCTAGTTTGAACGCTTTGTACGCATTGACCACATGGAACAATAAATAATAGGACGGAGCTTTTAATTAAACATTTGCTTATTATCCCGCTGTTTGCGTAACACACACGGGTGATTCAGGGAAGTCTGATTTTGCAAGGAATAAGGCAATTTTAAAGTAAAAAACCGCTCAATGTCCTGACTGTACCTAGTCACTTCATGGTTATTTAATTATCAGCGTAAACAATCAGGTTAATTGACTCATAAAAGTATGGAAAATTCCGAAAGCAATTAAAATCTGCTTTCAAACAATACTTTGTCTATTTATGAGGTTAGCTATGAAAATTATGATTCTGATTATTCCCAACCGTCACTCCACTCTGTCTCCACGTGGCGACAGTACAGAATAAAAAGTTACATCCGTCCTACCTTTCGCTATGAGGGGACGGTTGGAACTTATTTTATTCCTTAACGGTTCCATTTGTCACCTTATTAGTAATAGTGGGACGAATGAAACTTTTTATTCTCATCTGTCGCCACGTGGGTACAGAGTGGGGTGGTTGGGAATAATCCTATGATTCAATCCCAAAATTTAAAAATAGGCTACTGGAGGAATATTCTCTGTGCAAAATGGCTTGCTTGATTAAAAATGAACAAAGATAAACTAAACAATCTTTATTTTGTAAACCAACCAATTTAAACATTTTTTTACAATTACATAGTTCATTAATAAATAGATCACATGGTATAATAAATTAAGTGATTCAATGACAAAAAATAATACTTTGAACATAATTTCATTTTTTTTGTTTTTAAAAATTAACTAAACATGCAGTAGTCAAACTGAAATGTGTACAAGTCATTATTAAAAATAAATTATATAAAAGAAGTTCATTTATGTTCTATTATTGTCTATAATTTGACATTTTTTTTTATTTTACAATGATAGTCAAAGGAAATTGAAATCTAAAAATGTTATGCTTAACTTTTGTATATCGGTCATATATTCTTAATTCTATATTTTCTATTGTACCATAAGTACAAGTCAAGTTAAATAACACTTAAGATAGTTTAATGAAACATTAATAGATCAGATTTTCCTAGTTCTGTGCTGTTTGTTTCTCTAATCCTGAGGGATCCATGATCGGAGGTTGTTTCTTAACAATTCCAGATAACAATGTCTTGATCTGGGCAATCGCACGACCAGGGTTCAAACCTTTCGGACATGTCCTTGTGCAGTTCATGATAGTATGACAACGGTATACGGAGTACGTATCTTTTAGCTTCGACAGACGTTTCTCGGTAGCATCATCTCGAGAATCAATGATCCATCTATAAGCCTGCATGAGGACAGCTGGGCCTAGATACTTGTCACCATTCCACCAGTAAGATGGACAGCTTGTTGAACAACAAGCACAAAGCACGCATTCATACAACCCATCCAGTTTAGCACGATCTTCAACATCCTGTAACAACTGCGTCTCTTTACCCTTTACTGCTTCCTTGTCACGTTGCAACCAAGGCTCTATAGACTGATACTGACGATAGAAGTTGCTCAAATCAGGCACCAAGTCTTTCACAACATACATATGAGGTAGGGGATAGATTTTCGATGGCTTCGACAGATTTTTATCAATGTGACTGATGCATGCGAGTGTGTTCACACCGTCGATGTTCATAGCGCAGGAGCCGCATACACCCTCGCGGCACGAGCGACGGAAGGTCAAGGTCGGGTCCATTTCGTTTTTAATTTTGAGTAAAGCATCAAGAACCATGGGTGCACAGTCATCGAGATCTACTTCATAGTTCTGAGTGTAAGGCTTTTTGTCAGGCTCGTCCGGGTTCCAGCGATACACGGCGAATGTCTTCACTCTTTTCCCCAGGGCCGCTGACGTAGCGAAATTACGCAGCTGCCCAAAACCACCCGAAGTTAGGCGAAGCAACGGCATTATGTAATGTTGTTATTTTTTATTTCAAATCACTTCACTTTAATATCACACAAATTAGATTATAGACGTTATTTAAACTTATATTTTATGTATGTTATTGGATTTCGTTTATTCGGTCGTATTAGTTCAGTCGGGCTTGTTTTTAGGCGAATAACTCAATTTTTTCTTGATTGGCTAGTTTTGGAAACCAAAGACAATTACTTTTTTTCTCTTATGAAATATTTTGGGTAAAAGTAAGATCTGTCAGATTTAAACTTTGTTTAGTGCGAAGAGTTTAAATTAAATAAAATCGGTTCTTATGATAGGTATGTAGAAAAATGTATAAGAAGTTATTTGCGACAGTTAAATATACACGAAATAACTCAATGCCTTACGGTTTTTGGTTTTTGCTGTGATTTTTTAAATTTATTTGTCTATGATTTTTCGACGAAGATCTGTTCTCAAAGGCGCGAAAATATTTTGATACAATTTGACATTTACTCGTAAACATTACGAAATGGGATATTTTCTTTGATAAATATTATCTAGTATGAATATGAAAAACGGTGAAATAAAATCAAACGAACGAGATTCACCAAAGACTCCGGGTGGTATAAGCAAATCGCATTTGACGTCAATAAGACGTCTCGGTCTATCTCGGAAATGGAAGAAATCTGGAGTTTCGCCGTTTGTTTCTCCGCTCGCTTCTAATAATGTAACGAAAACTGCGGATAATATACAGGAGGATACAAGGACAAGGAAGCGGAAACTACATTTAGACGATGACCCACAGCTTTCGCCTGTTGGTGATGAAAAAAATGAAATCAGAGACATTACTACAACACCGCCAGTTGGTAAAGAGATACCTCATACTAACGATAGCACTCCTGTAAGAAAGGCAACACGAAAAATATCTAGAACGTTACCATACAAAGATGAAGACATTGTAATTACGGTTAAAAATAACATAGAAGAAAATTTAAGCAAAATAAATGAATCTATAAGAAATGGTAAAGGAAAACAACCTAGTGAAGATATTTCACCAAAAAAATTAATACAATTAGAAGATACAAGGGAAAAGAATGGAGAAATAGCTAAAAGTGATAATCTACCTATTGAAAACAAAAAGACTAAATTAAACAATATTTGCAATACAAATGAAAACAAAACTGCAGTTAATCCTGAAATGCCAAATAAATTGATAAAAGAGTGTATAGTTGTAATACAAAATAAAATATTAAAGAAAACAGGAAATAAAACTATTAAAAATACTGATACTTTATGTGATTCTGACAATGAAGATATACCTTTAAGTCATTTTAATAAAAACACACAAGAAAATAATAATTCTGATGATGAATTCAAATATAAGGAAAACAAATACTCATCAAAAATCCAACCAATACAGAAAACAAAATCAAGAAGCAGTAAGAAAAAGCAAGACAAAAAAAGTATGAAAGAGGATAAAGAAAAAATTAAATCATCACAAAGTTCCAACTCTTTTAGTGATGATGATGATTTCGAGTTGAATAGAAGAGTGATATTTTTCCCTAAACATGATAAAATCATTAAACCAGTCAAAGCTAAATCAACTGGATCGATAACACAAAAGGACATTGATGAGTTAAAAGCTCGAATCGAAATTAAAAAGAAACTTCTTTTCGCAAAAGCACAGAGTAAAGATACTGAAGAAGTTAGAGGTTTAATTAAAAAATGGCGTAAAGGTTGCCAGGATGCTTTAATGGAGCTTTTACAGTTAATGAAGAAAAAAATACCTGATAATTCTGATATGAATTACTCTAATATATTAGATATGTTAAAAATACCACCTTCTTATGTAGGTTATGACGAAGATAATGATTGCTTTAGTACTCCTGACGATAGTAGCATTCTAACTTCTATATTTAGTGATCTGTAAGACTATATTTTAGATTATATCATAGATAAATAAATATTCTATGAAATTGTTATGAAATAAAAGATTGTCTATGCCTATTTCCTTAACTAATTACGACACCAGGAAATAGGACCTTATTACTTAAATTGCATGGTTTGTTTCAATTGGATTTAACTATATTTAATTTATTCTAAGATGATTGATAATAAATGTTTTTTGTTATAATGTTTTTTTATTTCTGATTGTAAATAAAAAAAAAACAATGAGTTGAATTTGTTAAGCTGCCTTTGGACAATAAACTTTACTGGACAAGGTCTATTACACTCATCCCAAAGATTTAAGAATGAAAAGGTAAGGTAAAGAAGATAGAAAGGCATAGGGATGTGAAATATACTCCTGTTTCCCCTCTGCCACAATCACAACATGCAAATACAAATGTCTGTGGGCAATGGTCACTTCTGTAACTAGTGACAATTTGCACCTTACTTTCATGCATAAAAATAGTTCAGAAGAAATTGAAAATAGTGCAAGGTCACAAATAAAACATTCATTTAATATAACTATTTATTCTAATAAAACTAAGTTACTGATTTAAACATTAAAATCTGTGTGATCGAATTGGATTTTCAGGATCGAAAAGCTTTGGGTCTTTAAGAAACATTTTGTCTTTATAGAAATAAGGCATGTATGCACAATTCTGTGCTTTCTTTATTTCTGATTCGACTAGTTCTTGCTTATTTTTACAAAGACCGGTAATATGTCTGCCGTAGATTCTTCCAGTGTAAGGACTTTGGAACTGAGAGAGTAGTCTATAATTTTTGTAATCAGGTGTTATGTTAAGTTTACACAAGATACATTGACGTCTTTCTTTTTTAAAAGGATTTTCCATTTCCACGGGAGAATCATCCTCGGGTACAGTCGAAGAATGCCGTATCGGTAATAGAATACGCCTTGTTGTTAAATCTGCAATTTAAATATTTTTTTATACACTTTGTAGTTAAAATTATATTTAATTTGCTATGTTGGCTACTTACATATGTTCCGGGAAACTACATTAGTGAGAAAACTCATGATTAGTGTTTAAATAAATAATTTTAAACTGCAAGAAGTTTTATATTTTACTTAGAATTAAATACAGTACAGCATAACATAACCTTAAAATTGTCAAAATATCTGTCAGTTGTCAGTGTCAACTCTTTTGACAATGACTCTTTGATGGTGCTAGGTTTTAAAACGTAGAAGTGGTCAACACATGACTTAAAAAGGTAAAGTTTTTTTTAAAGGTTTGTTAGGTTCACATTTGTTTAACGTTTTAAGAGAAAGAACGAGATGGATGGATTGTGAGAAGCAAATGATGGGTGAGACGACGGATGATAGAGGTATTTTGAGGATAAAAACCTGTCGCGCCAACCTTACAGGAGTGGAATTAGGAGGAAGATGATGATTTGTTTCAAGATTTAATTACTTCGAGTATAAAGTACAAATGTATAAACATTTATTTTCCACGTACAACATTTTATTACCAGTTACTTGTGTTACTGTTTGACTGATTTGATTGGTTTAGTTATATCGTTGTGTTAATAAGGTCACCGGGGAGAAATAAAAGCAAGGTTTTATTTGGTATAATATTATTATATAATTGTCATTACAAAAATGTCAATGTTAGCAAAAATAATCACAGTCTGACACTTCAAATCTACACAACTAGTTAAGAATCTAGATTCATTTAGAACATAGACGTTTACATGATTGCCTTTATATAATTCTATTATTTATACATGCAACACCACGCTAAATTACGTTAGATACTATTGCAAAGTCTTAGCCTAGACTCCACGCACAACCTAACTTACTGTACATTTTTATAACTAGAGAGTCAATAATTTGAAAAGCATTGACACCTTTTATACTTAAAATTAACAAACGGAACTACTCAGATCTCTTATTTTATTAATATAAAAACAAGATGGCGCTATTACATTGCTTTTGGTTTCTGTATTTCACTGGCAATACTGAACCGTGCATAACGGTTCCATTCGAAAATTAAATTTTGAAAAGCATCAAACTTTGATTTAATTAGCTCTGATTGACAAAAAAAATGTCTCTGTTTATTAATAGGTTCTGATTTACTTTTTAATAAACGATACGCGATCGATTTTATGGCACCATCTTATTCTATGGTAACTCAATATTCAGGTATCTCAAAGTCAATGTCTCAAGTTCACACCTAAAAACATATTCCTTTACCGAGAAAGTATAAAATATATTAATAAAACTATAAAATACCCTTGGAAAGCGTTGGACCAATCATAATTGCTAACATTCCCTACTAACCACCTTACCGGGCGTTTTACAACTGCCCGTTTTATAAATAACATTCTAATATTTACACATCGACTAACAGTCATTTAGCTAAAATAATATTGGGCTTAATTCTTACTTAAAACTGTATTTTTTAATAATCTATACAAATTAAAGATTAGGGAACACAACGGAACAGTTTTTAATCTATATTTCTTGTATTAATTGTGTAGATTAAAAAATTTAGCACTTAATTATTTCATGTTTTGATTATTTAAATTACATTTGATTATTGTATTTTTTTTGTGCTTTTTTATTACTGTCAGATAATGTTGATTTCTAGTAAGAATTAAGCCCTAATTGTGATCTAAAGATTTGAGCAATAAACATTGATATGCTTAGGTTTTTTTGTCAATTTATGCATCCAGGTCATTGCGTATAATCTGTTTATTCTACCAGATTATGAAATAAATGAAAATGTGATTGTATATTAAAAAAATAAATAAAATCATGTTGAAGAGAGCGTTATTAAATACAGATATACTCAACGACCTGATTTAACCTAAAATTAGGTTGGACGGATATTAAAGATATTTTCTCCATTACTATATTGTAAATACAAATACAGATTGAAAAAAAACGTAATCTATGGATGTCTATTCATGTTTGTCTTTGAAAAATCATAGACAATACGTATCAAATACAATTCGTCGGTTAAATAGAAAAATGGCATTATTCAAAATGTACATTTTTAAAAGACAAGCATTTAAAGTTTTTAAATTTATTTAAATTATATTTCCTTTAAAGTTTTAAGTTTACACAGAAAATTTTCTTCATTGATATAAAAATTGTTAATACTAGTCTTTTTAATAATCTAGAATTCAGAAAATTTTGAAAAAGTGCATTTTTTTATTTAACCGATTGTTATCGTAATCGTATTACGCGATATTGAGCAAAATCCTTTTATCCTCGTTTGAAACGTAATATAGTTAATGTAACAACGAGGAACAACGCTATCCAAGCTAAAG